AATTTTATCTATTTATTTATTTAGTTGGTACTAGGCTTGAACCCAGGGCCTTCACAATGAGGTACATTCCCAGCCCTTTCTCTTTTTTATTTAGAGTCAAGGCCTCACCAAGTCACTGCCAAGTTTCCCAGGCTGGGCTCAAACTTATGATCCTCCCGTGGGATTACAGCATTTAAAATAATTTTTTAAAACACTGTGACTCCTGGAGCCACGTGTCTCAGTGCAAAGTCAAGCTCTGCCAGCTTCTTTTTTTAAAGTTTGAGTTTTCTCATTTTTCCCACATAATACTTTATTTTTATTGGTACATGTTTGCAGTACATAATGATTATCTTCCTTGTGGGGAGTTAGTACATATACATAACACATCTTAATTCTTTATTTCATCCCCTTTCATCACCTCTCCCTCCATTTCCTAGTCCCTTTCCTTTCTGCAAAAGATCTCTCTCCCTACTTCCTATTATCTATCTTTCATTTTGCTCTTTATTAATACTTTGAGTTTCTCATTTAAGAGAAACCACGTAATACTTAAACTTGTGTTTTTGGATTTATTTCACTTAACACTATAGTCTCAAGGTAATACCTTTTCTTACAAATGACTTAAGTTTGTCTTTCTTTATGGTGGAGTAGTACTCCATTTTGTGTAAATACCACAATTTCTTTATCCATTTGTCTCTTAGTGGACACGTGTGCTGCTTCCAAGATTAGCCATTATGAATTGTGCTGCTATGAACATGGTATGCACATATCAGAGTAATATGATGCCTTTAACTCTTCTGGGAAGATATCTAGAAGGGGAATACTGGGTCAAAAATAATTTCTAGCTTTAGTTTTTTTTGCTACCAGCAAACCATGTGACTTTTGCATAAGTCACTTAATTCCTCAGATCCTTAATGTCTTCATTCTCTAAAATTTCTTGTGATGGTTACATGCAATTAGATGTTAAAATACCCGCACCCAGTGCTCATGGTAGATATCTCATTAATATTAACATAGTTTTGTCTTTCATTCAAGCTGGGTTATTTTGCTTGCAATAAATTAGTAGAAAACTGAGGGTAATTGAAAGCAAGATTTTCCTATTGATTAAATTTACATTTTCTGTCACATTGTGCCTCTTCCCCTGAGGGAGACAACAGTGCATTTTTCATCCTATTACCTTGTTTGCGTAAGGGCACAACTAGTCAAGTGTTCATGGAAGTGAGGATTGTGAGAAGGTCTCAAAGCGTGGAGCCTCAAATTGATGTTTGTCTTCATCTCTTTCTGACACGTTTCTCTCATGTGAATGGAGAAAAGCAACTTTGTGTATTCATTTGCTAAGGCTCAACCAAGAACAAATGTGCTGAGTAAAGCCTAAAAGACCTAATTTAGGTGTAAGAAGGGACTTCCCAACACTGTGAAAATGAAAAGCAGCCCACAAAAAGTTTTTGTGATGGGGAACTTTCAGCTGCTACCATGCGACAGACTGGGTGGGGGATTTCTTCATCTAAAGTATCCCCTGGATAGAGGATTGTTCCACACCCAGTTCATTTCTGCTGTCTCCTCTCTTGTACTGCACTATGTCCTCTAAAAAAGGATCGCCATTCAGAATGCCAAAGCTTCTTTACTGCAGTGAGCTTAGATGTAGGGTGAGAACAATGTACGGAGAGGTGCTTACAAGTCCAATTTCATCTCTCTATTGATCTTTACAGATACTTTCACATAAATCAGTCTGATGTAGTGCTTTTTTGGTGAAACCTGATACTGAATCTAGGATCTTCACTAGGCTGCATTTCTATCCCTTTTTATTTTGAAATAGAGTCTCACTAAATTGCTCAATTGCTAGATTACAGGCTTGTACCACCACACCAGGTCCTTGAAACTGCTTCTTAACTTTGTTTTTTATCTTCTTTATTGTCTCATATTCCTCATGGTAACCTTGGGTAAGTCCTTTCCTCTTTTTGATCGTTAGTTCCCCTGATTTGGAGTGAAGGCTGGAGCAAAAATGAAATATTCTCCTTTGATTTCTTACCTCTCCTCCCCAGAGTTTCAACCTTACCGGTCTCCCTCAGCTTCTCTTTCTACCTACTTCCTCAGCTACCACATCCTGTGAAACCTGTCACCCACAGTTGGACTCCTGTTGCCTACAGCTCTAGTAGTGCATTTAGCTGCTATGCTAGCAGCTTGACATTCTACTCAGCTCTCCTGTGCGTGTGTGTGTGTGTGTGTGTGTGTGTGTGTGTGTGAACATAGGGTGGTCATGTTGGTACGGGAGATGGAGAATGACACATAGGGGGTTTCCACTTTCTAGAAAGTTGGAGTCTCCAATCAACTTCTCTTTTCCCTTCAGGCATTTAGTGTAGTGCCAGGCCACCCCTAGGTACGTATGAATGAGGAAATCAGTGAATTTCTTAAACTCCTGGGGCAAAAGAGCCCACAGCAGTGTCAAAGAGTGTGATTGGCTGCCATTGCTAGCCTTGTTGATGAGGCTTTCTGGTAAATGCTGCTATACCTGAGGACAAACGCTCAGCTCAAAGAAATGGTCTTGACAAGGAGCTCTGTTTACCCTAGCACCGTCAATGAATCTTTTTTTTACTAAACTGTAAATTCTTTTATTAACAAGCATTATAAACAGATAATGCTAATCTCACTTAAAAACTATGAGTGCAACACAAGTGAATGTATAGCTTATGAATAAGGTAAGTATTTCCCATTTTAAAAGGCAACACACAACATAAAGCATACAAAAAGGTAAACAAAGAAGCTATAATATGGATACATGATTGATGTATTTAAAATGATACACATACAGTACATAATTAATGTTCATTATGTGAGCAATATGATTTTCTGATTTCTCCCCTCATGTTTCACTTTCTCCACAAACTGAATTGTGGACTTCCTCTTCTAAAACTGGTATAAGCAGGTTATCTTTGGACAGAAAATTATATTTCAACATAAGTTTAGTAAAACAATAACAAAATTATTTCCTTTTCCTATCCATGAAATAAATGCTGGTGATATGTATGATATATGCATGTGAAAATATTCTGTAAATCCTATGACATACAGATCTTAGTTTTGTTACAGATGATTCTTTGAAGCTAATGCTGCTGGGAAAATATTTATTGTTATTCAGAAGACATACAGCACCATAAAATATGTCTAGTGTAGTTTATAGAAGGACACGTTTAGAGTTTTATGAGCTGCAGAAGAAAAATCCATTGTTCGGTTGCTGTTATCTGAGTACAAGTATCTGGATGGCATTCACTCTGAAGCTTGACAGCAAGTCCATTTAGTTCAAGGCAGAATTGCCTTAAATGTTCACTCTTCCATATCTTCAATTTGACTTTCAAGTGGTTCTAAAGTTCTGTCAATATTGGAGTAATTTTCCCTTATGTTCTGTTGAATATACTGCAAGCCTATTGTTCATTTCATCAAAGGACTTATTAGGCCAGTTATAGAAATCCTAGCCTTTGTGCTTAGCCCGTTCTACCTCAGTGCAAGTGTCCCCTCTACCATAACCATAGAGCCAAGTTTGGGGTAGGAGTAGGGGTAGGACGTCTGTATCTGGAAGACCAGGATGTTGAGGGAAGGCTGTGCCAGGCCAAACCCTGGGAGGGGCCCCATCAATAAATCTTGGCAGTAGTGAGAAAAACTGAGGCACATTGGCTGATGGTACTGTTAATTGGGAAAGGAGTGGAGGGGGAAACAGGATTGCTGGTTCCTGGGTGAAAATACAAGCTGCTATGCAACCCTACTAGGCACATTTATCATTCTAGGCAGTCCAGTCTGCTTCCTTTCTCACCCTTTCATAATGGCACAGTGGGAAAGAACCTTGGAAGCCCAGGAATTCAGTTTTTTGTTACAGAAAAGACAACTCAAGACCAGTGAGGAGAAGGGACTTACCCAAGACCACGCAGAGGTTACAGAGTGAGTTAATGGCAGAGCTAGGAGTAGAAGCCAGGTGCCAGGAGTGCCTTGTTCAAATATCCTTTCCACTGTCCCACACTGGGTCGCAGAAGGTGCTCAAGCCATGCCTCTGCACAACTGCCAGTGGAGAGGGCAGAAAAAGAACTATGGCCAGTCAAATTTGAACTGAAATTCAGACTTAACTGTATGACTTCTCCTATCTAGAGCAATGCTGTCCTGGGATTCTGTGGCCTCAATAGGAAGTAGAAAGGGAGCTCTCAGACACACCCCCAAGGGCCTGGACAGTGGGTAGCATCTCATTTGAGGGAATAACAGCCTCATCAAAAACTGAATGTATTGAGGAGGGGCTAAAGGACCAGGGCACTGATCTGAGGAGAATGGAATGAATTTGGTCGAAGAAAGAGAGAAGAAGACAGATATCAAGAAGATCTCAATTCTGATGAAAACGAGAACCAGAAGCAAGCAAAGATAGGGAGGAAATGTAATGAGAAAAGATTACCCCACAGAAGACAACGGGGTAGAATGAGGTGTTGGAAGAGTTGAGGTGGTTTAGCCAAGAGAAGTTTCCTGGGGACACAGAAGCTTCAGACCTCTGAGAAGCAGATAGGGACAGTAGAGAATTAGTTGTGGCTCCAAGGAGCAGAGCTGAGATCCACAGTTGGAAATCACTGAGAACAAGAGTTCAGATACACTCAGGAGGAACTTTCTGAAAAACAAGGCTGCCTTGAGAGGAAACGGGCAGTTTTGACAGGTATTGAGTTTCCCGTCACTGGAAAGTTGCCTGCAAGGACTGCGCAGCATCTGCCAGGGTGCAGCCCCGCGTCCTGCTCTGGCCCTGAGCGAGGGGATGGGGCCAGATGGCTCAAATGTGGAAGGTTAGGAACTGTGAGGAAGGTGGGAGAGGGGCACGGTGGGCTTCAGTCAAGACTGGAAGCCCCACGTTGGGCTGCCCGGGCCCAGACCGGCTCCCCTGGTCGCTGGAGTGGCTGAGCTGGGTCGCGCCGGGCTGGGCGGGGCGAGGCCGGCGGCTGGCTGGGAGGCGGGAGTGAGGGCGGGGAGCAGGAAGCCCGGCCACATAAAGGAGCGGGCGGCGCAACGGGGGCGGCTTTTTCCTGGGTGGGGTTTGTGAAGTCGCGGCCCGTTAGCAGGAAGCGGAGCAGTAGCCCAGACGCTGGAGAGGAATCCAATCCGAGCCCCCCCTCGGTCCCCGGAGTTCGAGCCTTGCGTCCTGTGTTCTCAGATCTGCCCGACAGTTTCCATCCAAACTTCGCCAACTCGCTTCCTTTGCCGCCACCATGCCGAAGACGGTGAGTGCGGAGATGGGCGCTGTCGACCCGGGGGGTTCTAACTGCCTCCTCCTGTAGCCCTACACGGATGGCTGCCGGCTTGGCCCACTACCACCACCGGCCGGCTTGGGACGCCGCGCCCTCTGCGGTGGCCCGCGGTTGGGCGGGGACGCGAGTCGGGACCTGGTGTGGCAAGCCCGCGGGAGTGAGGGGATGTCCAGGCTAGAAGCGCGGACAGAGAGGGGCTGGCCTCTTTCTCAGGTTCCAGTTCTCTGCGTCCGTAATGCGACAGTAGGAGAGGCTTCGCTTGGGGCCCAGGGTTTCTTAGTTCCCTGAAGGGCGTGGGCGCAGGGAGGAGAGCGCCAGTTCGTCCAACTCCAAAATTTCCCCGGGCTCAGAAATTGGCGCTTTTCTGGGGCAAGGCTGCAGCTGTCCAAAGGGCCATGGGAACAGAGAAGCGGGAGTAGGGAGCCGCTGGGGCGGATCCCGCACCCCCGCTCCCCTTTCCGAAAACCACCCCGGGCAGCTTCAGCTGTTCGTGTTTCCCACTCGGATGTGAGCAGACAGCAACATAGTGACACATCATCCAGGTTACCCCCTTTTACCCAGCAGTGCCAACAGTTCACTAAGTGCTAGTCTGAGAGGCCTACCCAGTCTACTGGGGAGAGGACTGGCTTCTCCCTTCTCTCCACCCGCCAAAACGCTGCCTTTCCCATTGCTTAGTGCCTCTCTGTCCTCTCAGGACTGTTCTGTGGGGTGTGGGTTCTCTCCTGTGGGGCCACACCTTTCTAAAGTGGTGGTTGATTTGGGGATCTGGTTGATCTCCACCCCCAATGGCTGTTATGAGAAGAGTTAAAGCCTCCTAGGAGTGGGGCCTAGGGGGGCCGGATGCCCAGGAGGGAGGGAGGGGGGAGGGGTGTGCCTGACTAATGAGCTCTGCTTGCTTTTGTGCAAGTCATGCCAAATGGCTGCTGGGGCCCTTCCCTTGTTTAGGAATGGCGGGTGATCACTTTGGCTTGAGTCTTTTTGGCCAAGCAGCGCGTTGAACTGGCTTGGGCTATGTGGTGCACCCAGACCCACCTCCCTAGGGCTGACTGAACTTGTAGAGCTGAGATAGTGATTGGTAGCCTTGGGGAGGGCTGGGGGCCCTTGGAATGAGGGGAGGAGAGTGGAGGGCCCGGTTCTTTGGGTACATGGTGAGGTTTAGCTTCCACATTGCTGTATTTCAGCCTCACTACCAAGTCATTCTTGTTTTTCCAGAACCGTGACCTTCAGAAACACCAAATTTTAAAGAAGTATGTGTCTTCACTATCTCTGTCTTAAATTGCCCGTGGTTTTATGAGTTTGGCCTTTACCATACTTTCTTCCCAAACTCCTCCCCCTACAAAGTGAGAGAGAGGTTTTGCAAAAGAAGCGGGGGGCACTGTCTGCCAACACAGGATTACAAAGGTTCTTCCAGGAGCTTCTGGATTTCTTTCTTTGGCTGATTCCTGTCTCATAAGGTGTGGCTTTGCCCACGCATTGCAGTGGATCTCTGAGAATACACACTGCTCAGTGGCCTCTCTTCCCTATTGGTATATCTCATTCTAAATTCTGAGACATCTGGAAATTGCCTCTAAGTTGCATTAACTATTGTATTTCAGACAGAAAATGGCAAAGAAGACAGTATAGTGATCTTTTCCCTGGATATGGAGAAGGGTTAGAATATAAGCTATTTCAGGTCAGGTCTGGTATATTAAAAATACTTCAATACTAAAGGTATGTTTATGCAGATTGAAGTATGAATCACGTAGGAAGATGAGGGTTGAATTTTCATAGACTAGAAGTGTTAGGAAGTTTTTCATGCTGTTTAACTTAAGCAAGGTTGACTTGGGAAAAACAACTTATGATGCTGTTGAGACCATAGAATCTTAACCTGAAAAGGACCCTGGAAACTATCTATCTAGTACAATCCTCTAGAAAAGAAAAGACTAGCAAGGGTATTAGGTCTAAAGGAAAGTGGCTAGCTAAGGGGACCTGGTCAATTGAACCAACATGAGGTCCAGAATTTCTGATGTGCGTCCGTTGACACTGTAGTGTGAACCAATGACTGAGTTCTTAAAGTTTGAATTCCCTTTCTTTCCTTACTTTGCCCACTATTCTCAGGCATGCATAGTTCTCAAATAAAAGGAAATAGTTAACGTGGGCAGAGTAATTGGTGGTGCCATTTGTGTGGCCTCCTGGTAAGATCGGGGAGTGTCACAGGTGCCTCTTGTTACCTTTTTCATTCCTCACCCCAAGGCTGAGCCATCATGAGGCCTACCCTTGTTCAGTGAATTCCATCTGGTAACCGTAATGAAGAGGGAAAAAATTGCCTCTTCTCTACTTTTTCGTCATGGTGTGCTTTAGATTGTTCCTAGCATTTGACAGAGAAGTGTAGTGGAAAAATCAAACCTGTTCATTCATATGAACCATGTCTATGATCTACAGTCAGTTTAACTTTTATATTCACTTGTTTCTTCTAGTCAGGCCAGCCTCCTTTAACTGTTAAAACATGCCTGTCTCCCCTACCTCCTTCTTGCCATTCTTAGACTTTGCTTCTGGTTGCCAGTTTCCTGAATCTGCTTTAATACCCCAAATGGATAAGCTTATTAACTGCCATCTATACCTTCTGATAATAAGACAGTTATAAGTAGAAAAAGTCTTTCCTTCTACTTGCTCTCTAACTTTTCTTTTAAAGATCATAAGAGCTTTGAGGCTCGGATTCCCTAAACAGAGATTATTTTGAATTTTCAAGATGTTCTTAAGTTTTTTGCTTCCCTCCTTATGATTTACTAAAAGTTAGAGTTTAAAAGGCTGTCCACAACTATCAAGTCCAACACTTCTGTTTGTAGAGATGGGGAAATTGAAACCCATTATAGGGAAGGACTAATCGAGAGTGATGCAATGTGCCAGTGGCAAAGCTAAGGCTTAAATGTAGGTCTCAGTTATAGGGTCAGTCTTGGTAAAACCTCTTTGATTTGGTGGATTTTTAGCCCTACATCAATAAATCAGAGGAAAGGTGATCAAATGGTCATTTGATGGTACCATTCATGTTACGAGACATAGAGCCTAGTTGCTTGAAGTATTTGAGGGTTTTTGGGTCTGCATTCAGCTAAAGTTTAACAGGGGCTGTGTGGACTGTTTATTTTTCTGCCATTCCTAGCATTGCTTGAACTACTTGAGTGGCACTAAAGTGGTACTTGGCAAATATGAGGCAGAATATGTCTTTTAACCCTTGAACCAGCCCTGACTGTAGACTTCAAAATGGGGCAAGGGATCAGGGATAGAGGTTGTATAAGAGAGGCTTCTGCCTCTCCATGTTTGATTCTCCAGTTCATGAAACTCTTCGTGAAAGTGCGGATGATAGAGACAGAGCAGGAACCACCTTGGGAATTTCCTTTAGGTTTGTCTTTGAAGCCGGCTGGGTATAGAGGGTCTGGTAGGGCCAAAGGGTCTTTGTGGGACCCTCAAAGGCACCAACTAATCTGTAATCACATATTTGCTTGGGGAAAGAAAGGTTGCTGGGAGAGTCAGTGATGAATCTGCTAACTTACCATTATTCAAGAAATACCTGTAACAGTTGCCTGTTTTAAGATTGGTGTTCTTTTTTCTTCCCTCTTCTCATGCAAGTGCTTTACTGACTGGTGGAGCTGTAAGGGATATTTAGAGGTCATCTGGTCTATCCCTCAGCCTCTAAATCTAATTCTCTCTGGATGAGATGAGATTATAGCTACAATTATTTTGAACTCTCTTCTAATGGTGTCGCTTGGCAACAGCTTGTCTTAGGTTCCTTTGTATATTCCTAGGAGGTCACCTACCCACCCACTTCAATTTATAGACTCAGTGTCCCTGGATGGGACAAGATCTAGCTACCAATACTTTCAGGGTTGGGCCTTGCATGGCCAGAATTACTCTGATCTTCAAAGACAGAACTGGGGGGCTGGGGATTTAGCTCAATGGCACAGCGCCTGCCTGGCAAGTGTGACGTCATGAGTTCGATTCGCGGTACTGGGAAAAAAAACACAAAAACAAAAAAACAAAAACAAAAAGATAGAACTGGGTCTGTGTCTGATCTTTCGTGAGTTTATCTTTCATGTGCTTCTTTCTTAGGTAACAATCTTTTCTCCCAATTACCCGTGTTCTCTTGCCCCAAATGGGAAAAAAAACCCCTAAGGAACAAAAAAACAAACAAACAAAAACAAGAGTACAAAGTGGTCTTTTTTGAGAAAGTTTATCGGGGCCTGTCTTTTCATTATTGACTAGCTTTGCTGTTCATCCCTCCCATTTCATGCTTGACAGAGCTGAAAAACTAAAGTTTCAGGTTCTAATTTGTGGTGCAGGACCTGTCACTTTGCAGAGTTAGCTCAGGATTACATGAATTTGGAAGGTAGGTGTTGGAAAGTAAAACTGAACTGAGCATTTTTCTTCTCTTTCTGTATAAGGAGACTTTCTTTCTTGTTTTCACTTAGTAAAGTAATCCAAAAGAATTAAGCCCTTAGGAAAGTTCTTCCCTGCAGGCCTTCACTGCCTCTACATAGGCATGGGGGAGAAATGCTAGTAATAGGTAAACTCTTGGAATCCTTCCAGTACTGATGTTCTTGAGAGCCTTGCTGATACAACCTTGGGCTTCTTGTTTCTGTGTTCATTCCTTCAGGCATTCTTTCTTCAAAGTTTGAGAACTTTCTTTGTGCCAGAAAGTACTGAGTATAAAAAGCAGAATAGCATTTACTACAATGTATCTTCTGTCGCTTATGCTTCTGGAGTGCTATTTCCTCCTGAGTGTGAGTTCAGAATGGAGTTGGTTTGTTTCATTGGACAAGAATCCTGGTGTGAGTGCTCTTGGCCATTTCTTCTGAGTCTGGAGGGGAAGGGGTTGTGTCTTTCTTTACTGAGGAAAGAATGAATCTAAGTGAGACTATATTAAGAAGGTTATGGGTTGACTGAAGAGCTCTGGACAAACACCAAAAGCTTTATAGGTTTCCCCAGCTTTCTTCTCACAT